TATTTTAGTTCATCTACTTCTTCTAATTCTTCTCAATTCAATAATCAATCATTCCCAACTGAAAGGGTAAGTGTTGGTGTTGCTGAACGTATATTACTACAACATAAAGGGTAAGTGGTGTTGGTGTTGCTCAATAAGTTTCATTGCAAAGACAAAAAAGAACAAGGGAATCCAGTTCTATTTCTGAATTTGATAATTATCTAACAACTTCTTTTGAGTTTGGTGATGATTATGCTGATGCAGATTTTCCAATTTTAGATTGGTGGAGTCGTCACGCAAATACTTTTTCAATTCTTTCTTTACTTGCAAAACAAATTTTAGTAGCTCCGGTCTCCACTGTTGCCACTGTTGCGGGTGTGTTGAACAAGCTTTTAGTCAAGGAGGAAACATACTTGATGAAACACATCTCCGCTTCTCTTCCACTAGATGCACAAAGCATGCGTGGGATGATTTGGACCAAGGCCGAACTAAGAGCCAAGGGAAAATCCAAAAGAACAATGACGATTTATTTGATTTATACGATGGGTCTCACGGGAATATCAACCGGTGGTGGCAAATAGCGATTAAGGTAAAAAGGGGTGAAATTGATATAAGGTAAGTAAAAAGAACTACGTGGGCTTTGATTCCCTCTAAACCCCAGGAGGATACGTAGGCCAACTTAATTTTTTTAAACAAAAAAAAAAATTAAAGTTTTTCAGCCCATTTTTTTTTTTTCTTAAAATTATGTTCAAACTTTAAAAAAAAATTTCAGTTCAAAATTTTTTAAAAAAACAAATAATCATTGTTCAACAACTCAACAATTTCAAGTCTTTAAAAAAATAATTTTAATTGAGTTATTTTTAATTTTTTAGGTGTATTTTTTAATTTTTTATGTTCAAAATATATTATTTTTAAACCGTTCCTTTCAAACTTTAAAATTTTTAGGTCGTTTTTTTAATTTTTTAATGGTTCAAATAAATTTTTTTTTTAACCGGTTCTTCAAATTTTAAAATTTTTTAAGTGTATTTTTTACTTCATGTTCAAACTAATTTTTTTTTTTAAAACGGTCTTACAAAATTTACCAAATTTAATAAAAATTATGCGCATCGCCGAAAAAATTTAAAATTTAAAATTATGCGATTCGCCGAAAAACCAATCGGAACCGTCGGTTTTGTAATCGGATCGGAACTGGAACCAAAATCAGAACCGGACCATTTCAGTTCGGTTCCGGAACCGTGGCCAAGTCTACTCTACAGGGCAAAATATAGAATTCATTAGCATGTATATGTGGACTCGTTCCACGTCACAAGTTAATTTGGAGGTCATTTATGCCATGTTGTCCGCCACATGTGAAAAAAATGAGTCCATAATTATAAAATTATATTTCAGATATCCAAATCAGATTTAGATACTAAAAAGTAAATTTTAACAAATTCGTGCACTCGATTGATAATATTTTCCCACCATACCTAAAAATAGGAAAATATATCATCCATTGAGAAAATTATAATTATTAAATATTTTAACTTGTAAAATTATTATTTTTCAAAAATGTATAGTTTGGTTAAACATTCATTGAATAATTAAAAAAATATTAATATTAATATTTCAAAAGTCGTATCAATTACATATCAAATCAATATTTTGTATAATCGAAAATTCTAAAATTATTGTTGCTAGTGTAAAAAATTGTAGAATATTATCAAAATTCATAATTTAAGAGAATAATAAAACGAGTGCCATAATTTTGTTTGATGAAAAATATAGAGGTGAATTTATATATTTCTCTAAAAAAAATATAAGTAATCAGATTATTTAGCAAAAATTATATTTTGCAATATCTTCAACCTTTCCACCCATCCCCATATCCGGTCTCCTCCACCGCCATCACAATCTTCCCCTCACCATGGTGATCAATTAACCAACAATTATAGTTGAAGGGTTTCATATATTATAATATATATATATATATAATATATATATTCTTTGGACATGGATGCCTTTGTTTTTTTTTGGTTTTTTTTTTAATATGATACCTTTTGTTTTTGATAATTCAAGAATTTAATAAATTAATAATAAATAATATTAATAAATAATATTGCAACGTCAAAAATCTAGTACAAGCGTAATTATATGGCAATGATAAAAAAATAGGTTGTACCAAATATTATATATAATTAATTTTTCATGGAATTAATATGGATACCTTTGTTTTGATAATTCAAGAATTTAATTAATTAATAATAATAATATATAATAATATTGCAACTTCAAAAATCCTAGTACAAGCGTAATTATATGCAATGATATAAAAATTGAGGTTGTACCAAATATTGATATATAATTAATTTTTGTTATGGATAAATGTGTAAGCCCCATGCAATTGAAGGATAGAATAGAGTAGTACCATTCCCATATTGTGGCCTCAAAAACCCAAAAAAATGAATAAATAAAATAAAAAAATAAAAAAAAGAAGAGAAGGAAGCCCATATATGTGATTACAAATGATAGCTGCATGTGCACACATACATACGTATATATATACAACAACAATCTCTAATTTAATTAATAAAAAATACAGAAGAGAGAGGGCCTGCAAGAACTAGGATTCTTTATACATCGGATCTGCTGCAATCTTTCATTGCCTCAATGCCTCCTTACCTATCCCATTAATTATATAAATCTCTCTCTCTCTCCCTTCTATTATTTGTTTGCATTTATCCATGTTAGATAAGCTTTTGAAATTTCATTTCAATGTCAATGAGTAGTGTACCTAAGCCCCATTAATCTCTTACCATATATATATATATATATATATATATACCACACACACCATTGTAAGAGTGTGATGATATTATGCAATACGTATGGAGAATATAAATATAAAACGTGACTTAATACATAAATTTACCACTAAATTTTTAAATTTTAACTTTGCAACACTCGCTCTGAACTTTATGAATGACCTATCGTGCATAAGTGTTTAATTAATCTGATTTTGCAAATTCAAATGTTTAATAGTATAATTTTATATATTGAAGTGTTTAATATATTAAAATTAAAGTTGAGAATGCCAGAAAATTAAAATAGTAAAGTTCACGGATAAATTTATATATTCAGCCAAATATCAATATAAAATTTTCATGCATTCATTATTATTATTATTAGAAATTTCGTCAATATGTATTTGATTAATCACATAAATTTCATTAATCTCCTTTCAGAATTTGTTCTTGTTCTCCCTCCAATTATAGAAATCATTTGTTAAATTAAAATATATTTTACCACTTAAATCACTGTATTTAAAAATATATTTTATTTATGGTTCGATATAACATTAACAAAAGTCATAAAGACTTATTCAATCATTTTAGTATCATCATGAGGATAAGTCAAAGGATTTTGGTTTAGTAAAATTATAAGATTATAAGTTTGAATCTTAATTTAAAATAAAAAGAAAATTAGTATGAGCTTTCAATGAGGTTTACTAAAAGGAAAAAAAAAAACTTTCAAATAATTGTAATTTCAATCAATTGCAAGTGTACTCATTTATTTAAAATCGAAATTCAAAATAATTTTCGAACCATTTTTAAAATAAATTGAACCTTATTATTTCAGTTTAGTTTAGTTTGAAAATTTTGTAAACCGTTTCATATAGTTTGATTTAAAAATTATTTTGAATCACCATAAACTAGATAATGTATTACTCTACGTCAGAAAGTGTAGAGAGATTCAAGTAAGTTCAAAAATGAAATCTTATTGGACCACATAGGCAAAGTGCATGCACATGTAACCAAAAATTTTCTTGTTAAGGTCCACTTTCAATATGCGACTTTATGTCTTATTATCCTGATTTATAAAATTGGGATTAATCCCACTTATTCTGGAAAAAAAAAATCCTCTAAATTGGTTTCCAACTATTTCAATTTTCAATTATATTCAATTATAAGTTTAAGTTTTACAATGAATTTAATTTTTGGTTCAACTGAATCCAATTTTTGTTAAGAAAGTAAAAAATTATTTTCATATTTTTCAAAGATTAAAATTTAAAAATAAAAAAAATTAAGAAATGCAAAATTAACATGCATGAACATTAGTCTAGCAAAATCCGTAGTTCGAGAATGTTTATGATGTAAATTATAAATACTATAATTAGAATGTTTATGATGTAAATTTTTACATATTTTAAAATAATAAATATTCAAAATTCATCAAAGTTTTATGTATTTAATTCAACCCATTATTTAAAACTCAAGGTAATTATAATTCTATATATTTAGTTTAATTGCCTTATATTTAATTATATCCAATTAAAACATAAATAAAAAATATTTGCAGAAAAAATAACCCCATTTTAAATTGCGAAATATTACTAACTTTTTTTTTATTTATTGAATTTTAATTTTATTACTCCACTATTTTGTGCAAACTTAAGATAATTATAATGTTATATATTTAGTTTTATTTTCTTATATTTTTAATCATATTCAATCAAAATATAAAAAAAAAAAATATGTAGAAAAAAACTACCTAATTTTAAATTGCTAATTTTATTATTTTAAGTTAGAATTTAGAAGGTTTAATTAATGAATCCATATCCCTTTTCTTTATCATATTTTACTCTAATAATTTTATTAATATTTAGAGGATGAGAGATGGTTTGAACTTGATGTTTCTAATCAATTTTATACCAAGGCCAGCACTACCTCTGTCTCAAAATTATAATCTCAGTTTCTTTTATAGGTGTCCTAAAATAATAGTTTCGTTATACTTTTAGAAAAAGCCAAATCATCAAAAGAACCATTAACTTTATGAGTCGTTTTAATTGTACCTCAAATGCAACTTTCTTTTTCTAATTCCATGAATTTAAAAACTAGTTATAATTACATCGCAATTTGAAATTAATCCATTTTATTCAATTTTCATGGGATCTACATTCTCTCGTAGTTAAATTAACCTAAGCAATTAGTTAAACTAAAATACACCGTTTTATTTTTAATTAAAAAAATAAATAAATCTCCAAATCACACGCGATTGCCGTCTTCATTCTGCTGCCTCTCTTTCTCTCTCTCTCCTGATATACATGTAGGTATCATATTCCTCGATCTTTCCTGAAAAAAGATACCAAAGCTACCAATATACTGGTTCTCTTCCAGGAGTCTGGTGGAAGTCCATTTTTTATAACTCTCCAAACAGTTACAGTAGGAAAAGTAAGTGGAAGAGGCAATGAAGAGACACAATAGAGCTTTCATGCTATGGAAAACCCATTTGTGCAATTCAGTTTGCTAGTTTTGGTGATCCTCAAAGGTTTAGTAATGGCTCCTTTGAGAAAGGCAGTTGTGAATGTCTAAAGATGGCTTGTCAATTGCCAAAAAGGTAGTTAGTTTAGTTAATTGAGATTGAATTAAGTGAAAATTTACCTAATCCTTAATTAATTTGTTTAAACCGTAATTTTGCAGGCAGAAGTTAGGAAGGAGACTTGTGCAATTAAAGTTTCTGTATATGTATTTGGGTCCACAAATTGTGAGGAAGGTGCTGAGAATAGTCTAGTTGTGGAGGCTTTGTGTTAACAAGATGAAGTTTTTGTAGTTTGGGCTAATTAATTAGGTTGGTTTTTGTTAGGGATTTAAATTTTTGCATATAGAGAGAGAAGCAGAAGAGGGAGATACAGCGCGCACAAAAGAGAGATAGGCAGCAGAATGAAGACGACAATCGCGTATGATTTGGAGATTTGTTTTCTTTTTTTTAATTAAAAATAAATCAGTGTGTTTTAGATTAACTAATTGCTTGAGTTAAGCTAACTATGGGGGAGAGCGTCGATCTTACGAAAATTGAATAAAATATATTCAAGATGTTAGGAGAAGAAAGTTGCATTTGGGGTATAATTAAAATAACCCACAAAGTTTGAGATTTTTTTATGGTTTGGCTTTTTTAGAAATACCTTTTTCATTTTTCCACTATATCCTTAAACAATAGTTTGTATGAATAATTAATATTGGTTGAATTTACTAAATAGTGAAAAAAAAAGTCTTAATATAATTAATTCTGAAATTTTAATATACTAATAATTTATCATATTTTGAAAGTCCCAAATAATCGTTAATATACCATTTTTATTATATTTAAGGGTAATATGTAGAAAAATAAGAAAAAATTATAGTAAATTAATTTAATTAACTATTCTTAAATTGTATGAAATATGATTTTAGGACAGAAGAAGCATCACGTACATTGTAACTTTTTGAAATGAATGACCAATAATTGAACAATCATATAGCACACAAGTTTATCAAATGATTGTTCTTGGCTGCCAACTGGGATTAGGAAAAAAAAAATCAAGCAACAAAATCCCACTAATCTCTAATTGATATCTCAAAGTGAATAAGTTATAATTGATAAAATTTATTGAAATGGAGGATTTTTTTTGTGATTATAGTGCACTCTAGCTAGCCATGTAATGGTGTAGCCCTAAAAAAAAACATTAGGGATACTTATACACTGTGATTTGGGACTTTGGGGCTTTAATCACTCCAAACCCAAAAAATTAATAAATTAATTGATAAAGCAAAAACAGATATGAAAAGAGAGAGACCAAAAAAAATATGGGCAACAAGGGTAGTTTTCTGTTGATGAAGACTACATAGAAAGTGATAGAGGAAATGAGAAAGAGAAAGGTAGGCCCATTTGCCTTTAGTTGTGGCATAAGGTGTATGCAACTAGGAAAGGCAACAGGGAGAGATAAAGTAGAAGGAGATGTTTGAAGGAGGGTCCCACTTTGGAGGGGTTATAATGGAAGTAGCCTTCAATCCCCTCTGGACTTGTTCCAAATTCTATCTTCTTACAAGTTATAATCTTCTACCTTCCATTGCTTTAAGCTTCAAATTAATATTAGGTTGCCTCCTTAAGTATTCATGTAAAAACTCCATCTATAAGGTGTTATATCAATGGGTGAAACCTATGAACTAAACATTTTAATCGCTTGAAATAACATTGCGAGTTATATAACTGAGATAACCCTTGTCTTAACTCACTAAATTAGTAAAAAATATTATTTTTTATAATACTCAAACTTTTCATTTCTTACGTAAATGAGAAGACTAATACATAAATATGATAATCAGGAATAGTTTGCACGTTTATTATAATAATAAAAAATATTAAGAAATAGGATTCGGAGATATGATATTGAGGATTTGACCATGTATATGTATATGTATGACATGTCATGATTGTAAGTTCTATTAATAGTAAGGAAATACATATATGTAAAGTAGGGGAAGCCCTAATGCAAAGACAATCAAATCACAAAATCATGTCATTTCATTACAAGATTTTTCTGCTTACTTATGATTACAACGATTTAAAATCTTTGAAAACGATATCCTACATCTAGACCTAAGAAATTTATTAGGTTAAATTTTACTTTGTGACAAATAAAAAAAAAAAACCATAATATATTAATTAATATGCAATTTCTTGTCATATATACTAAATTTCTAACTTGGAATTTGGTGCGGTTTTCAACCACTTTATTGACAAATATATCTATATCATATTTTACCTATTACAGCATCAATCATTTTCCAAATATTAATTAAGCTTTTCTCTTTCTCAAAAAAGGAAAATGAAAACAGGAAAAAGAAAAAAAAATCTTTAGTGTATATTTGTTGAACTATGAATATTATAACATTGAATTATTATTTTCTCCGTTCTAAAATATAAATTGTTTTTTGGTAATTGTTTTATTTCAAAATATAAGTTGTTTTGTAATTTAGAAAATTTTATTGTTTCTTTAATTCTCATGCAAAAACTTTAAACAACTTATATTTTAGGACAAATGGGTAATTTAATAAGTCAATATTTAATTTAATGTCGTATAATTAAGGAAGTAGATAATATATCATATTGTCATAATAAATTAATTGCTAACTACATATAATCATATAATCCTTCTTTTTTATTTTTTCATTATATATATATTCACTTTTAGTAATTCAATCAGTATATATATACTTGCACAAGATATTCATGCTCTTGTTCTTTTAACAGTCCATAAATCTAATCAATTTCCACTAGCTTTTGGAGGCAAAGAGGTAGGCCCGAAACCCATTTGCATTATGAAGGATCGAACTTATAACTTAAGCCATGGTGATCAAACCTATAAATGATTTTTGCTATTGAGTTACTTTTAATTCAATGAATTTATTGAGTATAGTTGATACTAACAAAATTATTTGGTCCGTTCCATAACAATAGGCTTACTTTCCTTTTCATTTTCCCCAAATTTTCAAGGCTATAAGTTTTTTATTATGTTCTTATTTAATTTGCATAACAATATTAAATGTCTCTTTTTATGTTTATTTACATATTTTACAATAGTAGCCGACTAGCAATATAATGGACTTTTCCCAATAAAAAAAAAGGCAATATAATTGTCTTGAAATTCTAAATGATAATTTAATATTTTTTAGGATTTCTACACCCAATATTAAATGAGGGTATTATAAAATAAATAAATAATTTTAACCATAACAATTATATTTTATTAATTTGAGGGAAAATACTAAGTTTAGGGTTTTTTTTTTTTTTTTTCAAACAAACTCAAACCACAATATTAAATTCTAAACGACACTTAGTTTAGTTAGTTTGGTCTCTAAGCAGGCTCAATCCGCCAAGACCAAAGGAATGTTGCTAAAAGGGACATTTATCGCTTTAATGAGTGAGTTAGTACTTCAATAAGCATAGATTAAGAATTTGGGTCAAACATTAATTATAATTAATTAATGAGTCAGTTCAATAAAAATCATAAAACTGATAAATATACCAGTAAATATCATTTAGAAGTATTTTTGACCAATAACAGAAAGAAGTCCTATCTACGCGCATCAAGAGCGAGTGGGTTTTTAAACCTTCAATAGACATTTTATGCGGTTTCTCTCTCTCCAATCTCTTGTTAACTTGTACAACTTCCCAGGTACCAACTACCAATTAACAAGACTAAAACCCCGTTTGGCCACGTCAGCATTCTGACATGTCAGATCAAATGCCACTAACTGCTACGTGTAGACATGCATGTGGGTTACTACGTAACCAGGGCCGAGTTTCCCGCCATCCTTCACGGGCCCAAGAACCCAAATGATAAAAATAAATTAAAAAACCACCATTCCATCTACACCAATTCGGTCTAGCACTTTTTACCGTAGAGTTTAGTATTTTACCTAAAGTTAAAAGTTTACATCTATTCTTGGAGTCTCTTCAACAATATTAATCGTATTAGCTATTTTAACCGTTGTTAACTGTCATAACTATTTATATAATGGTTTAAATAAAAGTATTCAGTAAAAATTATTATTTAATTAATTATTTAATTTAAAATAATAAAAAATGACAATAATTACTTAATTAATTGAATTTAAAGAAAAAAATAATGGGTATGGTTATCAAAAAAAATTTAATTAAAAGCTAAACACTACACGTTAAAAACATGTTTCATAAAAAAAATTTTCTCAACCTCTAAAAGTTATTATAAAAGGTATATTACCGAACACTGTAATTACTAAAGATAGAATTTTAATTTAGTTAAAATACTAAAAGCTAAGTTTAAAAGTTGCCAACGAACATAGTATTTTTAATGGTTCGTAATGATTAAGTGTTTAAAATATGAGAGAATGGACTATAAAATATTATTCTTTTTAATGTTCGAGGATATATCTGTAAAACAGATGACAACTATTAGACACTCCCAAATTTCTCTCTTTCTATTTCTTTTCAATAAAAATTAGTAAAGCTAGAATTTAAAAGAAAGAGGAAAATAATATAAATTCAATTAAATGAAGATTGCACAAATAAAAAAGGCAACAAGATGGTTAAAAGATGATTAAATTCTCTTATTAGCCAAGGTTTAAACTTTACTATTGTTAAAGGAGGAGGTGACAATCGCCCTCCTTATCTATAAGGTAGCTTCGTCCTTATTAATATTTAATTTAAAAAGAACTAATTTAATATTTTATAAATTAATATTTCATTAAAGATTGTTTTAATAAATTTATATATCTAAATACTAATTTTCATGAAAGCATATTTTAATAAGCTTTGTATTTAACCTTATTTTTTAATCCCTTAAAATCAAATAATACAATATTACTAAACTTCATTTATCTTACCTTCTCCTAAACAATAAAAAAAATTACTCCTTTACCTTATCTTATTTAAATGAAACTTTTCTCACTCCATCCAAATAAAACCTTAGAGTCAGTGAATTGCGAGTTCAATAAATCGGTTTTGCTTAATTAATTCCGTGAAGGTTGGGTTGGACAAGGAAATTTAGAGAAATAGTAAGTATTATGAAACCATCTGTAAATTCCAACAATGACATTACTAATTAATCATGAATTTGAATAGTTAAAAAATCAAAATGAATAGTTAAGTTAAAATTTTTGTCAATATAAATAATTTATCAAAATTAATTTTTGTTAAGTGGCAGTAATAATAAAAATATTAAAATAAGAGATCTTTTCATTAGAATTTTAGTAGGGCAATAATGGTAATTATCATATTAACTTTAATCAATTTTTTTATTCATTAGGAGGCTCAAAAAATCAAAATAATATATATTATATAATATGAATAGCTCTCCCTTTTAACTCATCAAATTAGTGAAACGTCTGTGGTTAATTCCAATCAATACCATTTGCCAGCATATGAAATATATATATATATTAACTTTTAATCAATTTTTTATTCATTAGGAGGCTCAAAAAAACAAAAATAATATATATATATAATATAATAGCTCTCCCTTTTAAACTCATCAAATTAGTGAAACGTCTTTGGTTAATTCCAATCCGAATACCCATTGCCAGCATATGAATATATATATATATAATATATATATTTAACTAATCTATATTTATAGGAAGTTTGGAACGAATGATTATACTCACAAACTCAAATTTGAGTTTAATTAAAAATATATAAGTTTGGAACGAATGATTATACTCACAAACTCAATTTGAGTTTAATAAAATTCAATTTAGCTTGGTTCGTTTACATTTTATGGGTAGTTTTTTAGACTCACCAAAGATGATAAAATTTTAGAGCGGAGAGGATTCAAACTCGAAGCTATCCATTATTTATATAAGTAAAAAAATCAATTAGATTATAACTTTAAAGAAAATAGAAGTATTAAATTTCAGTACGTGTCATTTACGTCTAGTAGATGATTGAGGAACAAAAACTAATCCATGAAATAATATGGTACGACAACAATAAAAGAATATATATATATATACTTGGAAAGAAGAACAGTTTTTTAAAAAATATATTTCTTTTCATCACGGAATTGCCACATTTTCGTCGAGGTAGGTCAGTCAATAACTTAAAAAATCAAGGGAAAATAAATATTATTTTGGAAAAAAAAAAAAAGAAAACTATTTGTAAGCAATTAGGCATAAGTTAATTAAACTTTGACTGCTAGTGCATGTTTCCTAAACCCCCGTTACGGATGCACGTCTCAACCTCAAACCAAACCCCAAACCTAAGCCTAACCCTACTCTCTGCCACTACGCCGTTTTCTATTGCTTTGGACATGCCCACGTGGCGGTCATATCAGTGGTCCCCACCCCCACGGCCTCTGGTTATGGATACATTCGATGGCTCTCTGCCCCATTTGCTACTCCTCTCTCTTAAATTTCTCTCTCTCTCATAATAATCCCCGGCCAGTAGTTGTCAGATTCCGGCCACCTTTCTCTTCCCATTTATATATATATACCCCACCTTCTACTCTCTCTTCCCTTTACCCCTAACATTTTCTCTTCTCTTATCTTTCTTCCTTCCTTTCTGGTTTTTACACACACGTAGGCGCATGTATCAGTACATGGCCATATCAGGAACAGTATATGGTACTTCGTCTATGACTCGTGTCCAACAGGAAAATAATTAAAAAGTGATATACTACCCTGCGCACCTTCTTCATCCCGCGTACTTTAGCATCTACGCTTAGTATCTTTCTGATTTCTACTTTTGTGTTATTTGTTTTCTGCGTCACTTTCAATTTCAGCAAAATTATAATTAAGAACATGAACAGAGCATTGTTGCCGGAGATGTTACACTGTACGGACATGACTGTGCTTGAGAGACAAAGGGCTCGTTTTAAATGGCAACAAGAGCAGCAGCAACAAAACCCAGTACAGATTGAACAAGAAAGTTTTAATTTTGGCGATTTGAGTGGGGTTTTTCAGTTGCAGCAGCAGCAGCAAGGGTTTCAAGGTGATCTCGGAGAGGTGGTCACCCGGTCTGTTAAGCCTGACCCGGGTTTGATAGATAACGGGTGGCCTGATTTAGTTGCGTTCGGCTCGGCTTGTGGATATGGGAATAGTAATGGGTCTGGTTTTGGTACCAATTATGGTATTTCTAGAACTTCTAGTTGTCCACCTGCGGTGGCTGCCGCCGCAGTGGCGGATGCAGCTGCAGTTGCGTCACGGAAATTGAGTTCTGGAGTTGGTAGAGAAAGTTTGAAGAAGAGAAAGGCTGATAAAGTGCAGAATAATACGAAGGTTTTGATTTTTTCTTGCTTCTTTTCTTGCAACAGAATAAAGAATGGTTTGGCTCTTGATTTCTTGTGTACTGCTGAACAAATATAAATAAGTGTATAAAAAATTGTCAAATTAAGAAGAACAGGATCTTAAAAGTACACATTGTTTGCCTGGTTTAATTTGTTAATTAATCAATTGATTAATCATATATGCCTAATTAAAAAAAGATTCTTTTGGGCTTCTTGTGTAGGTTGCTGCAGAAGATGACAGCAGGGTTGACAAAAGAATCAAAGGATGTGCAGAGGAAGGAGAGTCAAAGATCACAGACAAAACTAACAACAAAACCAACAGCAGCAAAAACATTAACAAAGAAAATTCAGCTGAAACTTCTAAGGATAACTCTAAAGTAACTGAGATTCAAAAGCCAGATTACATTCATGTCCGGGCCCGCCGCGGCCAAGCCACTGATAGCCATAGCTTAGCTGAAAGAGTAAGTTGGATGAATCTTCATTAATTTCTTTTTTCTACACTAAATTTCTTATTTTGGTTAGTTGGGGTTTTTGCACTTGTAATGTCATAGCTCTGAACAGGACTTAGTAGTTAATATGCGTTTTGCTTGTTTTATGCAGGTGAGGAGGGAAAAAATAAGTGAAAGAATGAAGTATCTGCAAGATTTGGTGCCTGGGTGCAACAAAATTACAGGAAAGGCAGGCATGCTTGATGAAATCATTAACTATGTTCAATCTCTTCAACGACAAGTAGAGGTAATTAACTAAGTATTTCTTAAATTGGTTATTTACTCTTGTTTATAGACATTAATGTATATTTGCACATCTATGTACTTGCCGTACGTTTCTTCAAATTTCTTTGTTGAGTCTTAATTAACACAGAATATGTTGCTATATATGAACAGTTCTTGTCAATGAAACTAGCTGCTGTGAATCCAAGGCTTGACTTTAACATTGATAACTTATTTGCTAAAGAGGTAATAGTTAATCATGGATTTTATTGGCATAAATTCATAATTTTGAAAATATATTATGGTTACTGAATCATTTTTAATTTGTTTCAATCAACAGAATTTTCCTGCTTGTGTAACCAATTTTCCCACAATTGGGATGTCGTCAGATATGACTAATCCTGCATATCTTCAGTTTAATCCAGTACAGCAACAACAACAGCATCAGCAACAGCAACAATTAGTGACATGTTGTGGATTGGATATCGGGATAAATAATCCTTCTGATATAGTGCTTAGACGAACGATTAGTGCTCCAATATCAATGCCTGAGATGTTTGTTGACTCATCTTGCTTCACTGTAAAAGTCTTGTACACTTTATAAATATCGTAATTAATTTCTCTTACTGATTATGGTAATTAAAATGTTATTCTCATACAAATCATTTTTGTTTTAATTATTGCAGCAAATCCAGCCTTCATCAACTTGGGATGCTGATTTACAAAATCTTTACAATGTAGCATTTGATCAATCAAGATCAACATCTTTCCCTACTCAGCCATTTACAGGTAATATGGAGCTAATGAGATGTCTTGTCAATCTTTGCTTTATTATTGGTTTGATAATTTTCATAAGGCTAAAAATAAGCAAAAGTGGGTTTTAACTACCATTGATTGAGACTCTAGATAACCCCACAAATTGCTAATGATTTTGCTTTTGAAATATCAAAATTTAAGAAAAAGAAAGAAAAAAAAAAATTGAGTGTGATTGAAATGAAGAAAGTTGGTTAAAGGGCGCTTGCTATCTTTTCTCTCCAATGATCAAAACCACAGATCTTTTCAATGATCTCAACCATTTTTTGAGAAAGAGTAGCAACATAATCAAAGGTACAAAACTTTTTGACTGTATAAAGACATAATGGCCATCTATTTTTTCCAATTGATGGCATATAATTATAAATGGGTCCCTATAGGTAAAGATTTGACAAAGTGTATAGAATGATTCTCACAATCAAATAATCTTGTGATTATGATTGTTAATCATATTAGCTTTTAATAAAAAAAAAGTTTAATGAACTAACAATCATTGATTAGATAACGAATAATGTCTATTCTCTGTTCCTAAATTCCCCTGCCTCTCATTTTCATTACACACAGACTTATTCTAAATGATATGTATAAACTTTTGCAGGTACTATTGAACCTAGCAATCTGAAGATGGAGATGTGAATCGGAACATCATCGATTACACGATTCTTGGAAGAGAAGATTATTCTAAATCCTTCTGATCTTGATGATTCTTTTTTCTTCTCTAAGCATATACCGTATATATTTTGTATGTATACTTGTGATTACATATATAGTATGAATAAAATCATACCTATTAACATCAAATCCCCTTTGCTTTCTCACAATGCATGTTGCAAAATCAAACCCATAATGATCTTTCTTTAGTTACACCAAAAAGGTTCGATCGCGACGGAGGGTTTGGGGGGGACCGGAGAAATTAGGGTTGAAAGCATGTTTAAGCATTTTGGTGGTGGGGCAAAAATGAAGCTCAAGTATTAGTACTGTACAAAAAAGTATCCCTAAACACATATTCAATTTTTGTGGACTAAATTAGCCTTTCTAGCTATTTGGCATGAATTGTTGAAATCAAAGAAAAAAAGAAGGGCACAAGTGGATTGAAAATTGTACTGTGATCCAGTGGTACAAACAAGTTGTTTCTCTGTTGGATGAACCTGATGACAAGGCTCAATTAAGGCCAGAGTACATGTGGACCGTGTCAGCTCCCTCTTAGGACAGAATAATATTTAGATTGATGGAGACCTTGGTAATTAATTTTATAAAATTAAATAAATACTGAAGCAACAAGGGACATGAATTCCTTATTATAGTTTTCATGTCTTGGCAACCTTCCAAAATTTATTAATTAATGTTTGGTCATTCTTTTCTTTCAAATGTTTTTTAGTTGAAATAATATTAATTAACTCTCATAATCTTAAAAATTGCATCCTATTTGATATAAATAAATCTGAATTATAAATTTATAATTGATCATTTGATGTATGTTAAAGGGAGCTTTAGAGATAATATTCAAAGTTTTTGTATGTAGAGGTTATGGATATTATGCAATTTGTCTACGTTGGACATAGATTTTTACTTTTAATTAATAAAAATTAATATTATAAAATATAAATCAATCATACGCAATGCCTAATACCTAATGTTACCCAATCTGTAACAGATTTATTATGGCTCCAAAGAAAGCAAAATGAACCAATTGCCAAAGTATACAAATTTTCAGATAAGAACGTCATGTAAATAATACAATTAAAAGTACATTAACTGCCCATTCCTTGGAGTAGGTTCCTAATATTTATACATTTTGGCATTTTAGAAGGAAAAAGAAAATGATTTTTGGTTCTTTTGATTACAAATTATGATATCTAAAAATAAAAAATATATATATTTAAAAAGCATCATTAGTTATTTCTTTGTGAAATTGTTAGTTCCTTCTCATTTTTATTATAGAAATAGAAAGAAATTGTTCTAATATTCAATAAGCAAACATTTTTTTTTTTTTTAATTTCCTATTGGGAAGTTATAGAATTTTGAAATACAATCTTTTACATTCTTCAACCTTATCTTATTTAATAATTTTATCATAATTATTCATTTTAAAATGTTATATTCATTTTGAGAAAAAATGAAAAGAACAATAAAATTGTACTTAATTGAAGTTAGAGTTATAAAATCAAAATTATGTTATGATATTTCCCAACTTGTTGGAATATGCAAATGAATGAACTCACTGAAAATGAACCATCTTTAAAGGATGTTTGAGGATATTTCCTAACTGGTTCTCTTGTTTTCTTATTTCCCAAACAAAATTCTCTGGTACATAAAAACAGAGTACAAGAATTTCCCTTTACAAGGTACACGTTGTAGAGGTTCAAGTAAGAAGAATGACATCTTGGGTTTTCTTTTCTTGGTAGGAGGTTACAATCTTGACATCATTTGAAAAATGATTTAGCTATAAACCTCAACTTCCTCAAAGAGTTGGTCCATTTTTTGCCTGTGGAAAGTTCATATCCTATACGTACATTTTTAACATGCATATATACCTTCTTATTAATATACGTAAGTTTTCTTTTATACATACATACATATATATATATATAATAGGAAAGAAGCGTTTTAGGTTGAATTTCGAGGACGGCGCGTGTAATATATATACATCGAAACACAAAGAGAAGGACCACTAGAAATTGAGTGCAATTTCTCGTAGAGAGTGAAAGGCCTTAAAGAAAAGGGCTGCCCTCATTTTCAAGCCACAGAGAAATGGTGAGAGGAGTGGACCTGCCTCATCCATTGCCAAGATCTCTTTGATTCTCTTTGTTTTCTATGGATGGTGAAAGATGATATTGCCTTCTCCCTTTCTTGGGGCCTTTCCACCTTAATGTGAATTTCCTTTTCTTTTTCCTTGAAAAAAAATATTGTTTGCTTCCCATCTAATTAATTATTTTTTGAGATTTTTTCTCTCAATCTTTTGAATATATGTATTTATTGCAAGGTCTATGTGTAAATATTGTAAGGCTCACACAAAGATTCTCTTTGGCTATGTGTATAATTTAGTAATTGGAATGAGATTTTTGTTTGGAGCAATAAGTTTCTGTCTTTACCTTGCAACAAGAATCTTGGAATAGATAGAGAGAGACAAAGCCATTTATCTCAAAACTGTGTCAGAAATTTTGAGCCCTAACTCCAACTTTTAAGGGTCCGTTTGGATTGGTTCAAAAAAGATAAGGAAGAAATCGAAACCGAAATTAGCAAAAGAAAAAATAAGTGGGAAATCTATATATATGATCTCTTTATGAATAAGAATCATCAGTTCTTCCTTTCCTTAGGGAATGAGAATTAGATTCCCATGAGAATCAAGTTTAATCAAGTCAAAATAATAAAATGTGACATGTGATATAAATTTTCAAACATATTACTATTAGATATTATATAATTAATATTTTAAAATTAAATAAATTTCAGTAAAATTAAAATATACAATATTGATATAAAAAAGACTAATAAATTTAAATATATAATCAATTGTAAACATAAAATTTGATAAAATTAAAATCAAATTATACATATTTGTTATACTTTTGGTTAATATAATTTTTAATACATTTGTTAATATATATATATATATATATTATAATTCATTAAGAGATTCGATAGACTGAAATAAGAGCTACAGAACAGAGGTAGCCCTCTCCTTACGGCACCAGATTGATAAAAACATTTATAGTCACAAAAAACTTGAACTTGTGATCCCTCATTCCTCATATGAATTAAAAAATCAATTATAACGCAACCGATTGACTTTATTAATATATTAATTTACTTATAAGAACATACCATATGGAATAAAAAACTTTCATTTTTAATTCTAATTGATTCTGATTTCGGTTTCCAGATTCTGAACTAAATGGACCCTGAGTGCAACTCTAGACGGGTTAAATAAATAGTTGGGCTGTAATGGGCTAGGCTTACAAGGACCCAATCTTTAATTGGTTTTTCTTCTGGGCCACCTAGGCCTGGATGGTAAAAAAGTAAAAGAGGAAGAGATAAAGGATAAAGAAGAAAAAGGAGTTTCGTATAAAATACCTTCAGTAGAGTTTATCAAATGCAAAATTCTAATCTTAAATCTAGATTCCATACTTAGCCGACATAGATATTCAGAAAAATTCTATTTTTAAGTAAAATTTGTCTGGAGATACAATCATAACTAACCGTGTAACTTACACCAACTGTACTCCAACTAAACTAAACAGGTGTTGAAACTTGAAACCAATTTATCAGATTTGGAGTTCAAGGTTTCATAGTTACATTTCAACAGAAACCTATAAGTAAGTCTTAAGCATAATTCATAGATAGGTCCAGAATCTTACTGTAAGCCATTTACTGCGCAAGGGATTTGATACATAATTAGGTTTATAGCAAGTTAGACTTGGGTTTTCCTCCATACCTACATATTCTAACACCTAAAAGACTAACGAATGAATAAATTGGCAAATTTGAAAGGCAATTAAATTTTCACAATGTAAGTTTGTCATACAAACAGCAAATAATAACTAAACTTTGTTGTAATGAACATCATACAATAAATCATCTTCCTGAGAGACCTATCAAATCAATCTATCCAAACAATCAAAGAACTATAAAAAACACACATTTCACAACATCAAATGCCAGAGCTGGTAGCTAGTTCCCATCCATTTTGTTCCTTTATGACAGTTCTATTACTTCCATTGAATTAATGATTCATCTCCAGCTGCTGCAAGTTCAAAGATGAATAATAAATTTAACATAAAATTTGTTGGATGTCTGGGTGAATAAGAGTGTGTGCATTGGCGATTTAGATTTGTGTTTCTAGTGAAAAGTCATTTAAAAAGAAAATCATCCAATGAAATATTTTATCTATATGGGTCGTGCTGAAAGTGATACCTTTCCCAGGAACAATAACAACAGGCGCTGCTTTACAGTGGTGGAAGCAATATTCACTCACACTTCCCTGCAAGACACTGCAAGGAAACAATAATCAAAAGATTTCCTTCTAATTGAGCTGCTTTATCAAAGAACTATATACAAGAATACAGAGAGAGAGAGAGAGAGAGGGAGAGAGAGAGAGAGAATTTGTACCTTTGAACTATGCCTCTGCCTCTGGTACCCATCACCACAGCTGCAGGCCTTAACCTTTCTGCTTCTTTGCAAATAACTTTACCTGCATCGCCTTCCACAATACGAGCAACACTCTTCACCTAATTCCATAAAGATCAACATTATAAAAATATTTGAGCGAGGAATTCAATTAAGGAGGCCATGTTGGTTGGCTTTAAAATTGGAAAAAAGAATGTTATTTTTCGAATAAAATTCCTTTTTTGGTTTGCTTGATAACAAGTCTAATATTTTTCAGATGTTACTCTACTTGAAACTTTAAATACACTGAAATGATATATATATATATATATATATATATAAACTAGATGTAACCAACAAATTCTATTCAGTTATTTGAAAAATAAACTTGGAATATGATTCTTTGACCTTAGATATCGATTTCCATTTTTAGTTTCAAGGTTAATACAACAAATACTAGATAATAATGCCAAGTTTAAAATTAATAATTTCACACCCTATTAAGTGAACTGAGTTAGCTATTGTGGAGTTAGGCAAAAGAAATACCTATGTGCCAAAACAGAGGATATTGCATTTCGAATAGGTGGTGATGAAAACATGAATCAGAGTAAATTAAAACAATAGTAGTAATAGCCAAAAGATGCAAAGTAAGATTATGAATGCAAAATTATGTTGTAATTAAATAAGCATCTCAATTTTCAGTCCATTATTGAATAAAAGTCATAAATTTTATTTGGTTCCCCAAATGAAATAAAATATACATAAAACATTAAAAATTGCAAAATATGAATATCTATTTTAATGATTACAAATGCATTAAAAAAAAAAAAAAAAAGAGATTGCGTTCTTGTATTCAACATTAATAATTCCTTTTTTAAAATTGAAATCAGATTTAAGAATCATCCCATGAACAAAAATATGAGTAATGGAGATAAAATAAACTGTAAAATTAAAACAATTAATTGTATCAACTAACAAACACAAGTAATTAGACACAAAATTTCAAATTAATGAACATAAACAAATAAAAGTTCCTTAGAAAGTTTAGATTTTTTCACTTACCATGACAACCTGGTAAGCCTCCACAGCAAGCTTCTCCATAAGAGCCTGAGTCATCTCATAAACTACATCATTCTGCACACCTATTAAAATATAAACAAATAAAAATAATTAAATAACAAAAAAACAACATCGAAAAAAAAAAAAAAGAAAAACAGAGAGAAAGAGAGACATACTGGAAACAGCATGAACAAGATGGATGGTATCGGCAAGGCGGCAAAGATGGATCAAAGCCCAATCAAAGGCGTGTTTGCTATTGGGTCCATGATCTATAGCTATAAGTATGTCTCTGCCTCTCCGTCTCTCTCCCGTCTCTCTCTCCAGCTCCGGTGCTGGAACTACTGGAATCAACGATGGCAGTTGCACATCTCTCCAATTGTACTCTTCTTCTTCATTTAGAACCTCCATTAGTTTCTTCTCTCTCTGTTCTCAAAGCTTTTGTCAAATTATGATTCTTCTTGTAGCGATTGGTTTTCGATAGCAAATGTTCGAACTTTTCTTTTTGGTCAATATTTTAACGGAAAGAGCTCATTGGGTTTCTTTGTTTTTGGCTTTTTTAACTTTTTAGTTTTAATTTTATTTTTTTTAAGTAAACACGATTTGACTTTTCTGGCGGCCGCCAAGATTGACGTGTTTGGGTTAACTTTGAAATAATTTCACATGTTTGTGCATCTCCACAAAAAGAAAAATCAATTAGGGAAGAAAATAAATGATTTAGCTTATATAAAATAAATAATTATTAATCTCCAATCTTAATTCTTCTTTTATAATTTTGGCGAATTCATTTACCTTGTGTTTGGAAGCTTTTAGAGAAAAAAGAAATAAAGAAGATAATACTATATGTAACTTTAATCTTACTTTTAAATTTTTCACTCTAAAACTTTAGAGCTTTAATTTTGTGACATCTTGAATTTGTAATTTCAATCTTGTGGTACATTTTGCAAATGACCTGCACCTAAATTTATAAATTTTGATAATATTAAATATTTTTCGACCTGATATGTAATTTTTTTAATAATTATTTAATTAATTTAATTTTATAAATTAATTTTATAAGTTTAAGTGTTCGATGGGTCAAAATAAAAACTAATAATGTCACAAAATTAAAATAACAAGGTTGAAAGCTAAATTTATGTATTTCACCATCTATGAATAATTAGAACAGGCGTAATTAGAATACTACATATCATATAGAAGTAAAAAAGTAATAATATAAGAAATAATGAAAGTTTTTAAAAGATTTTTAATAAATTTAAGATATTTTAAAAAGTTCTTAATTATGTCAAATTAAAAAATTTTCGGGAAACTGCAAATCCTTTTTTCCATTTCAAACCCGAAAAGCTTCCGCACCATTCCCTCACGGTACTAATTTTGAAAATAATATTAATATTTAATTAAATTTTTGATTGTGAATGGTGATTTAAAAGAATCAACCCCAGTCTCTTTCTTCTCTCTTTCCTGTCTGCATCTTGCAGAGTTCTCACCCATTCCGATTTTCACCTTTCTCAATCTTTCCTATTTTCCTATTTTCACCCTTTCCTTTCTTTCTTGAGTTATGCGGTTGTTGAATCTGGCTCGTCTATCAGCAACTCGGATTTCTTCGTTTTGTCTATTTACACAAATTATGGGTAAAATGAAAATAAGTGTAATTTGATACAAATAATTATCGAGCTTTAATAATTTATGCTCTGAAAATAACACCAGTAACTAATTAATTGTCTATATTTAGAATGATTGAAAGTCTAAAATTCGTGATTAATTATAGAAATGGATGGATCAAAACAATTCATGCATACTCATTTTTCCAAGAATGAATTAAAATAATCTTTTTTTGATATTGTAAATTGGATTATAATTTTTTTTGGGAAAAAAATTGTATTATGATTAAGCTCTGTTGGCTGATCTTTTCAGCTTCCTAGAACCTATCTTGCGAAATACAACCAACTCATTTACTCCAACCGTGATTTCAAAGTCAGGATTTGCCAGAGTCGGCCCAAAATAGCCGGCCAGGGACATTCGGCGCAAAATACCGATAACATTTTCCGTAGTTCCAGTATGGACTACTCTCTACTAGTTCGCTAGTTCTAGTATGGACTTTTCTGGACTGGCTTCCAGTCGGCCTCTGATTTCAGATGCATTCAACAATTTCTTGTATATATAATTAAAAATGCATATCTGATATTAATTATAAGCTACCAAAATGAAAAAATACAAACCAAAAGACTGGAAAATCCGCAGGAAAAATCTCATTTCTAACAGAAATTTCAAATTCAAACTAATTCACCAAAACTTTTCAAAAAACAGAATAAAGAGAAACGCTGAAAATCGAAAAAGGAGTAAGAGAAGAATGCTCAGACTGTTTAAGAATGGAATAGAGGATTTGTCCTCATACTGATTATCAGATTAACGAGATTATAATCTAATCGTCATTGCATCTTCTCTTTCTTTACATAAATTAAAAGATAGGAATAATAAAAGAAAAGTCATTGCAGATGAAACAGAATAGCAGACCTTATTTTCCGAAGCGACGCAGCTGCTGTCGAGATAATAGGGTTTGGCTTTCCGAGCTAGTTTTATAGTGAAAAGGGACACAGTTTATAATTACTAAAACACCCTCCTATCAAGGCCCTAATAATAGCCCAATTTTAATTAGGTTTGTTGATTTGAATACAGTCCGGCCCAAAAGAATCACAAAGATGACGTGTGCAATTATATAACATCAACAAGAGCAACTCGCATTCATTTTTGTGTATACATAAATTTCAACGCCTAATTAGGGTTTTTATCCCAAATTGGGATCTTAGCAATTTTGATAGCACAAATACAGATTCAACTATTGGTGCCGCAGGCAGAACCAAGCGTTCAAAAGCTATATCTATAGCTTTGTCAACCTGTGCACTTTGTGTCTTTCCTGTTTTACAAAAAGTGGCAAAATGCTCACAATTTTTCATAATAAGCTCATATTCGCCAAACCCATCTTGCAGTAACCTGTAGGCAGTTTGCACAACTTCATAAGATGGTTTTGAATTTCCATTATAATCCTTCACCTGCAATGAGTCACCTGAAAGGAAGCAATCAAGGCAGGTTTTTACCACTCCATAGTGTATATTTGTGTCATAGCCACATACTTGGCAAGCTGGATTTTTAGAGCTTTTAATTCCTGTAGAGGTGGTGAAATGAATCACATATTTGATTCCATGTAGCTCTCCCACATATATTCCTGCCATTGTTAAGTATTCAAATAACATTCTACTTTGAGTTTATTGTAAATTATACATGTAAGGAACTCTAATATACTTTGAGCCTTTTTAACATTGATGTAAAATTATTTTCCCAAAAAAACATAATTTTCATGTTGCTTTTATAATGCTGATTTTTGTGTATCGATAAAATTATTCCACTCGTGATCCAGAGATCATAAGTTCGAGCAAAGGAAATAATTTTCTCATTTTATAAGAAAAACTGTAAATATTAACAATTCCCGTGAGGTACTTGATACACGAACTTCAAATTAAAGATAATATAAGCTCTATTAAATATTTTTAACATAACAATTTTTCAACATCTATGTCAAACCAAATTTTGAAAACAAACAAAAATATATGGCTTTGCAAAGTAGACTAACCATGGTGGGAGTAACCCTTAAATCTTCTTATAGCAAAGATATGATCACCCGGTTGGAGCTGGAGGGAGGTCTCAACCATTTCCCTCAATTTATCAACTTTTTACATAGATGAATTTGTAATTGAAATTATAAACTTATATAGATCTCCTTCTTCTTGTTAAGTTATTAACTTTTCATAGAATCTGATTCTAATGAGTAACGTCTTTGGTTAGGAATTTTTATTTTTCACTTTAAAATTAAGGCATTTTATTATTCCGATGCTTAAAAAATAAATCACAATATAGAATTTATTCCTCACGATCAAATGTCTGGAGTGAATATGAAAATAAATCGAGAAAAGATAAAATTAAGACAAACTGAACGAATTAAATTGAACCAATTTGATTTAATATTTCTTTTTATCACTAATTGTGTTTATTACAATATTTTCATTTTATGTAATTATATTTTTTTCTGTACACTATTGAACATCGTTTATTTTATTTTTTAACTAATTGAATTTAGATTTTTAGGCAAGAAACCAAATAACCAATCAAATTAAATTATATATAGGTGTGTGTATACACAGTAAACTGAATTGAAATAATCGGAATTTGAATAATCCAAATAATACAATGCTTAATGGATGAAAAATAGACAATTAGTGATTGCACAATCAAACTGGAAACAAATAAAAACTGCTCCTGTTAACCTAAATCATGTCCACCAGCAGTTGCTTATGTTGCTTGTTACTGTTAACAAGAGATTAAGGAACAATAAATCAAGAAATGCACCCAATTTCTCCTGGTTTTTAGGATACAATGCCTTTAAATTAAAGCTACTTGTTGAAATGGTT